ACGGGGCCATCCAAGGCTCCCGCAGGTGAGTCTGCGACCTCATTACATCCACCACAGCGACCCTACCTATACTGCAGCAGTTTGCAAGCAGTAGAAACATCGACTTTGTTGATTTCATCCATCCCTGCCTGGCACCGCCGGGAGAGGGAAAGCGTACTGCGGCGCGTGCACTTCTACGGGTAGGCACAGCGTGCATCCTACTGGACCAACAGACCAATCTCGAATAGCACCACAGTTCGCAGCAACGACCCAGACAAACCCCACTACACAATGTCCTTTTTTGTACAGCACCCCAAGCCAAGGGCACAGGCAAAGAGAAGCACCCATACCAATCACAACAGGCCAAAGAGAGATGACCCACCCGGCAACCGACTAGCCGCACAAGTTACACTCAACAGTCATACCATCAGCAATACAACAATACATATCCACAACCAAACAGCGCTCCAACATATCGGGGGCATAAACCAATGACGCCACAACCACAACGACCAACCACGCGGAGGCGCAAGCCACAACAATCGAAGGAAACACCAACCAGAAGAAACGCCTTCGTTCCAGAGCTTTGGTACGGCTGCGGACCACACCGCCTACGCGTCATGGGAGAACCAACATCCATCAACGACATACCCGAAGTATACCAGTACGAGGTACAACGCAGGGACACACCAGGCACAGTACCACTCACAACAGGAGGTTGGTACACATCCGAAGCAGCAGGGCTAGGTAAGCTTGCAACGCAGGTGCTGGCCACTGAAAGCGCTGGTCAAAACGCGAGCATGCTTCGACGACAGATCGCAGGCACAAGGGTAATTACTCGATTAGAAACCTCAAGCAGGGAAGCTGCAATACATACAGCGACCGGAGGATGACTGCGCAGCGTGCGCCAATATCCCAGAGGGCACGCTCAAGAATGAGCAGCATATGCACGACGACGACACGCTCAAGGCAATCACTTTCATTAGCTTCTCACCGACGAACAGCATGCACCGAGTCCCGACCATCATGCAGAGTACATGCCGCTTAGCGGCTCCCCAACAGAACTTCCACCCATTGGCCCGCTCAATAACACGCGCCAACATCCGCCAAATGATATGGAGACATACCGACGCACGAAGTTCTTACAATATGCATGCGGCAAGAGGGCCAATGGTTGGGCCATATATAAGAGTCAAAAGCAGCCTAGCAAGACAGGCTCACGGAGGCAACGCGCGCTCGCTATTACAGTCTGCGGAAGGCACCGTACAACAGCTACAAGAAGCTGGCGACACTCTCTCACTCGACGACCACGATGCGAAAGAGTCCAGTCCCGCACTGCGTTGACCAGAGCAACGGCTTCAAGCATAACAAGAAGCACCGCGACCAGCAGAATTCGCACAACAAGACGGGGACATTACGTCTAGACAAAACTACCAACGATTACTGCAGATTGAACGCGCCCCAGAACAAGGCATTCAATGCCGATCGCAACTCAAGCGCAGCGACGACTCGCGCAACGTCGGGGAGACCGCCGTCGCAAGTCTGAGACATGAGCTCACCAACCAAACGTAGCACCCCATCGACACGATGCCATCATTCGACAAGCATGTCCACGCTACTGGCTTCAGCGCGAAAAACAATCTGCAACGAGCCAGATCATGCCGCCCCCCGGCAGAGAACCATATGCGAGCCCTCGAGCAAGGACTCGCCCAGGAAGCACGACAAACCAGATGGCGTGCTCTTCGACGCGAGAGCCACGGGGATAGCTGCGCCTCATATGTGGCGAAACATGCACGAACTCAAGATGACCACCTTCGACAGAGGGGGCGCGAGACGCAGCGCGAACGGCCCGGATACTTCAAGGAGCATGGAGCAGCGTGCATGAGTAACGCTAGAACCAAATCAAGCCGCTCACCTAACCATAGCAAGTGCGACCGAGCAACTCCACAGAGCCAACTAGAGTTGCCAGCTATGCGTCAACGCGGCACAGCAGTGCCAGCAAGGCGCGCTAGCGTGCATGCCGATCCAGCGCCAGACACGGTGCATCTGCAAATGCAGATCCAAAATCATAGCGCGCCGAACAATAATCATATCTCACGACCTTCCCAGGACAAGCGACTGCCGATCAAGTGCAGAAAAAGCACGCGTAAGTACTTCCGCCAACGTGCCAGCCAGTGCCGTCACTGGGCCGCGACGCCGAGGCCGCGATCCGCATGCGAGAGGACGAACTTTCCAACGGAGCGCGCCAGCATGTCGAGACATGGAAGGGTTGTAGGGGGACCAAGTTCAACTACGCGACTAAGATCAATGGCTTCTGGACGCGTTTGAGCGTGTCGTAGGCGACGGGCTTGGCGACGTGGGCGGCGTAGAGGGCCGCGCATCTGTGCGAGCGACTTGCGGGCCTGCTCAGCACTTCGCGGATGCCGCGCAGGCGCATCAACGACAGCATCGTTGCGGATCGCCAGTTCGAGTCGATTCCAAACCGCCGGTCACGCCGACGGAGGCGCGATTTGGCAGACCT